CTCCCTGGATTTGAACCCGCAGCCTTTTGGTCAGCAGTTCAGCGGTTTAGCCCACTGCGCCACCGAGGACTCCCAATATAATATAATATAATCTCCCAATATAATATAATATAATATAATATATTATCCCAATATAATATAATCTCCCAATATAATATAATATAACCTCCCAATATAATATAATATAATCTCCCAATATAATATAATGTAATCTCCCAATATAATATAATATAATCTCCCGATATAATATAATATATTATCCCAATATAATATAATCTCCCAATATAATATAATATAACCTCCCAATATAATATAATATAATCTCCCAATATAATATAATATAATCTCCCAATATAATATAAAATAATATAATCTCCCAATATAATATAATATATTATATTAATATTATATATATATATATATATATATATATATATATATATATGTCAGCCATTAGCATTTCAGCTGCACCCAAAGCCTTCTTTTTAGGGTCACTTTCGAGGGAAGAGAGAAAGGATGCAAAGGGAGGGCCCTTCCTTCCTTCCTTATATCAATGTCTCTCTCTCCTTTCCAAACGAAATATAATATAATAACGTACTGTCTTCGTGACAGCTATTGGCATTCCAGCCGCAACCCAAGGCCTCTTTTGAGAGTCACTTTCGCGGGAAGAGAGAAAGGATGCAAGGGAGGGCCCTTCCTTCCCTGCATCCATGGCTCTCCTTTCCAAAAGGAATATAATATAATACAATATAGGGAAATGCAAGGGGGTTTGCTGGCATTTAAAGGATGTCCCCCTCCAGCTCACGCCGGCCATTTCAGCCGCATCGAAGGCCTCTTTGAGGGGCAGCTCCATTCAATAAATAGGGGAGAGAGAAAGGATGCAAGAGGACCCTTCTCTAGACCCATAGGGATCCTTTCCCTTTCCAAAAGGGAATATATATATATATACACACACACACACATATATATATATCTCTCTCTCTGTTTGGAGATGGAGGCAGAGAAAAGAAAGGCACCGGAAGCATTTAAATCATGCCCCCCCCCCCCCCATTTCTAGTCCATGCCAGTCATCATCATCATCATCATTATGACTGTTTGGGAATGGAAGCAATGAAAAGCAAGGCATCGATGGCATTTAAATGATGACCCCCTGAGTTCATGCCATTATTATTATTATTATTATTATTATTATTATTATTATTAGATACACAACAAACAAGATCCCTATGCTGGCTTTTGTATATAATATTATATTGTGTGTGTGTGTATATATATATATTATGAGTTCATGCCATTATTATTATTGTTAGATACACAACAAGATTAGTACACAGCAAACAAAATCACTCTGTTCTCTTTTGTATATAATATTATATTGTATATTATTATTATTATTATTATTATTATTAGATACACAAGAATAGTACACAGCAAACAAGATCCCTATCCTGGCTTTTGTATATAATATTATATTGTATATTATTATTATTATTATTATTATTATGAGTTCATGCCATTATTATTATTATTATTATTATTATTATTATTATTAGATACACAAGAATAGTACACAGAAAACAAGATCCCTATCCTGGCTTTTGTATATAATATATTATTATTATTATTATTATTATTATTATTATTGTTATGAGTTCATGCCATTATTATTATTATTATTAGATACACAAGAATAGTACACAGCAAACAAGATCCCTATCCTGGCTTTTGTATATAATAATATATTATTATTATTATTATTATTATTATTATTATTATTATGAGTTCATGCCATTATTATTATTATTATTATTAGATACACAACAAGATATTGTATATAATATTATCCCTATGTTGGCTTTTGTATATAATATTATATTGTTTATTATTATTATTATGAGTTCATGGCATTATTATTATTATTAGATACACAACAAGATTAGTACACAGCAAACAAGATCCCTTTGCTGGCTTTTGTATATAATATTATATTGTATATTATTATTATTATTATTATTATTATTATTATTATTATTATTAGATACACAACAAGATATTGTATATAATATTATCCCTATGCTGGCTTTTGTATATAATATTATATCATATATTATTATTATTATTATTATTATTAGATACACAACAAGATTAGTACATAGCAAACAAGATCCTTATGCTGGCTTTTGTATATAATATTATATTGTATATTATTATTATTATTATTATTATTATTATTATTATTATTAGATACACAACAAGATTAGTACATAGCAAACAAGATCACTCTGCTGGCTTTTGTATATTATTATTATTATTATTATTATTATTATTATTATTATTGCTGTTTGGGAATGGAGGCAGTGAAAAGCAAGGCATTGGTGGGATTTAAATTAGTTCATGCCAGCCATTATTATTGTTGTTGTTGTTGTCAGATACACAATAAGATTACTAAACAGAAAACATGATCACTCTGTTGGCTTTTGTATATAATATTAATATTATAGTATATAATAAATTATTATTATTATTATTATTATTATTATTATTATTATTATTATTATGGCTGTTTGAGGGTAGAGGGAGAGGAAATCAAAGCATTGGTTGCATTTAAATGATGCCGCTTCCATTAGTTCATGTCAGCCATCATCACTGTTGTTGTTGTTGTTGTTATTATTATTATTATTAGATACACAACAAGATTAGTACACAGCAAACAAGCTCACTATCCTTGTTTGTGTATATAATAGTAATATTATATATACACTATATACACACATACATATATATATATATATATATATATATACGCACACAATGTATGTATGTGTGTGTGCATATATATATATATGTTATATGTTAGATTAGTACACGGCAAACAAGATCATTATGCTGGCTTTTGTATATACACACACACATACAGCGTATATATAATATTACTCTTATATAATAGTAATATTATATATAATGTATATAGTGTATATATAATATTACTATTATATACACAAGCCAGCATAATGATCTTGTTTGCTGTGTACTAATCTTGTTGTGTATCTAATAATAATAATAATAATAATAATAATAATAATAATAATAATGGCTGGCATGAGGGGAATGATTTAAATGCCACAGAATAATAATAATAATAATAATAATAATAATAATAATATATATATATATAACATCTAATATATAATAATATATATATATATATATATATATATATATATATATATATATAATGTGTATAGTGATATTATACACACACACATATTGTGTGTGTGTGTGTGCGTGTATTATATATTATTATTCTGGTTGTTTGGGGATGGAGACAGAGAAGAGGAAGGTATCTGTGGCATTTAAATCATTCCCCCCTCCATTCATTTATTCATTCATGCCAGCCATTATTATTATTATGATGTTTATTTATCTCTCCACAAGGAGACTCAAAGTGGTTTAGGGACATGAAAAGCCTTTGGATCCCATTCCAAACATGGCAACATGAAGCGCCATTGGCATTCCAGCCGCATCCCAAGGCCTCTCTTTCGGGTCAGATCCAGGGAATCCATGAATGGGGAAGAGCAGGAAGGAGGCCCCTTTCCCTCTCATATTCCCAAACAGGAAGATAATATTGGAGGAGGAGGAGGAGAATGAGTGGCCAAAGAGACTGGGCAGCCTCCAAATGGAGCTTTCTCTCCCCAGTTCAGACCAGTCCCTAGCATGTCTTTTAGGGTTTGTTGTGGAGAGAGGAGAATGGGTGGCCAAAGGGATTGGGCAGCCTCCAAATGGAGCCTTCTCTCCCCAGTTCAGACCAGTCCTTGGCATGTCTTTTGGGGTTTGTTGTGGGGAGGGGAGAATACCCCCTTTCCCTCATATTCCCAAACAGGAATATAATTTTGGAGGAATATAATATTGGAAGAGGAGAATGGGTGGCCAAAGGGATTGGGCAGCCTCCAAATGGAGTCTTCTCTCCCCAGTTCAGACCAGTCCCTGGCATGTCTTTTGGGGTCTGTTGTGTGTGTGGGGGGGGGGGGACGAGAGAAAGGTCAGAGAGAGAGAGAGAGAATGGGGAGAATGCCCCTTCCCCTCATATTCCCAAACAGCAATATAATTTTGGAGAAGGAGGAGGAGAATGAGTGGCCAAAGGGATTGGGCAGCTTCCAAATGGAGACTCCTTTCCCCAGTTCAGACCAGTCCCTGGCAGGCCTTTTGGGGTCTGTTGTGGGGAGGGGAGGGGGAAAGAAAAGTCAGAGAGAGAGAGAGAGAGAATGAGAATGGGGAGAATGCCCCCTTTCCCTCATATTCCCAAACAGGAATATAATTTTGGAGGAGAATGGGTGGCCAAAGGGACTGGGCAGCCTCCAAATGGAGTCTTCTCTCCCCAGTTCAGACCAGTCCCTAGCATGTCTTTTGGGGATTGTTGTGGAGAGAGGAGAATGGGTGGCCAAAGGGATTGGGCAGCCTCCAAATGGAGACTTCTTTCCCCAGTTCAGACCAGTCCTTGGCATGTCTTTTGGGGTTTGTTGTGGGAAGGGGAGAATGCCCCCTTTCCCTCATATTCCCAAACAGGAATATAATAATGGGAGGAAAAGGAGAATGAGCTTCCAAAGGGATTGGGCAGCCTCCAAATGGAGCCTTCTCTCCCCAGTTCAGACCAGTCCCTGGCATGTCTTTTAGGGTCTGTTGTGGTGGTTGGGGGGGGGGAGAGAAGGGACATAGAGAGAGAGAGAGAGGCCCCTGTCCCTTCCCCCCCCCCCCTTTGACAAAGCCACTCCATCCTCCTTCCTCCAAGTGGGGATGGAGAGAGAGAGAGAGAAAGCAGCTCCATCATTACGCATCTTTGGGGTGGGGCTTTGGGGGGGCTGGCGGTGGAGATGAGGCCTCAACCCGGCCCCAAAGGGAAGCCCAGGGGGGGGGGCTTCCTTGTCCCCCTCCCTGGAAGCAAACCAACAAGTAAACAATCACCAAAAAGGGATGGAAAGAGAGAGAGAGAGAGCGAGACTCACAGTGTCGGCATTGCGCTCATTGCCGGCGGCCAACGCGGTTCGCAAAGACATCTTCTTCTCCTTCTCCTTCCTCTCCTCCTTCCTCCTCCTCCTCGTTTCCTTCCTCTTCTCCTTCCTTTTCCTCTTCCGAAAAGGGTCCCGAGGGGAGGGGGAGATGTGGGGGTCGTAATTTCCGGGAAAAAGGGGTCTTTTCCTCGCCTTCCTCCTTGGCTAGTGGCTCTCCTTCCTCCTCTTCTGCGTCCTTCTCCTCTCTCCGAACATCAGGCTCTCCTCTCCTCTTTTGGGGGGCAAAACAAGGGGGAAAGAGGCCAAGACAAAGCAGGGGGGACCCTCGGAGAGAAGGGAGCCCACCCCCACTCAAGGGGATCCCAACAGTCCCCCCCAAAAGGGCGGAAAGGCCGCTCCCCCGCTGTCGCTGGCTGCGCTTCCCGTGCGCCCTGGCCGGATTGGACTGGGTTGGGGGGCACCTTTTGTGCCAAGCCGCCCTGCCCCCCGCTTCCGAACCGGGGGTTCAGGCGAGGCCGAGGATCCGGACCAGGAAGCGATGCCCAAGCGGGGGGTCCATGGTAGAGCCCCCCCGGAGGCCCGGTCTCGGAACGGGAGAGGCTTCTTTCAGGTGCCCCCCCCCCTCTCCTCTGGCCCGGCCTCTCCAAAGGATGGAGGGAGCGAAGGAGGGAGGGAGGGAGGGAAGAGAGGAGGGCGGGGCCCCGAGCAGGGAGGGAGGGGGAGGGAGGGAGGGGAAAGGGAGGGGGAGGGGGAGCCACACTGACCCCCCCTCCTCCCAGCTCTTAAAGGCGCCGCTTCGCCTCCTGCGTAAAAAGAACCTCAGAAGGAAGGAAGGGGAGACCTTTGCTGGGAAGGGGGGGGGGGTTGCAAGAGGGCCCCTGAGCATGAGCAGAAGGCGGCCTTAAGAAAAAGGCGACTCTGGCTCAGGTGCCGGAGGCCATAAACTGGTCTTTCTTTTTTCCTTCCTTGCTTTTTCTTCCTCCCTTCTTTCTTTCTTCTCTCCCTCCCTCCTTTTTTCTTTCCTTCCTTTTTTTTTCTTTCATCCTTCATTTCTCTTTCTTTCTTTCTTTCTTTTTCTTTCCTTCTCCTTCCTTCCTTCCTTCCTTCCTTCCTTCCTTTCTTCCTTTTTCTTTCCTTTCTTTCTTTCTTCCCTTCCTTTTCTTTTCCTTTTCTTTTCCTTCTTTCTCTTTCTTTCTTTCTTTCTTTCTTTCTTTCTTTCTTTTCTTCCTTCCTTCCTTCCTTCCCCTTTCTTTTCTTTCCCTTCATTTTCCTTCCTTCCTTCTTTCCCCTTCTTTCTTTCTTTCTTTCTTTCTTTCTTTCTTTCTTTCTTCTCTCTTCTTCTTCTTCTTTTTTTCTCCTTTTCTTTTTCTTTCTTCCTCCTTTCCTTTTCCTTCCTTTTTCTCCTTCTTTTCTTCTTCTTTCCCCCTCTTTCTTTCTTTCTTTCTTTCTTTCTTTCTTTCTTTCTTCCTTCTTTCTCTCTTCTTTCCTCCTCCTTCCTTCTTCCTTCCTTCCTCTTTATTTCTTTCCTTCCTCCTTCCCTCCCTTCTTTCTTTTTTCTTTCCTTCCTTTTTTCTTTTATTCCTTCATTTTTCTTCTCACATTCCTTCATTTTCCTCTTTCTTTCTTTCTTTCTTTCTTTCTTTCTTTCTTTCCTACCATCCTTCCTTCCTTGCTTATTTCTTTCTTTGCTTCCATCCTTCCTCCTTCCCCCCTTTCTTTCTTTTTTCCTTCTTTTTTCCCTCTTTCTTTCCTACCATCCTTCCTTCTTCCTTCGTTCCTTCCTTTTTTTCTTTCCTTCTTTCTTTCTTTCCTACCATCCTTCCTTCCCTTCTCCCTCCCTCCCTTCTTTCTTTTTTTCTTTCCTACCTTCCTTCCTTCCTTTTCCTTCCTTTTTTATTTCATTCCTTTGATTATCTTCCCACATTCCTTTCCCCCTTTCCTTTCTTTCTTTCTTTCTTTCTTTCTCTCTTTCCTACCATCCTTCCTTCCTTTCTCCTTTCCTCCCTTCTTTTTTTCTTTCATTCCTTCATTTTTATTTCATTTCATTATTTTCTTCCCACATTTCTTCTTTCCCCCTTTCTTTCCTTCCTTTTTTCTCTCTCTTTCTTTCCTACCATCTTTATTTATTTATTTATTTCCTTCTTCCCTCCCTTCTTTCTTTTTTCTTTCCTTCCTTTTCCTTTCTTTCTTTCCTTCCATCCTTCCTTCTTTCCTTATTTTCTTCCTTCCTTCCTTTTTTCCTTCCATCCTTTCTTTTTTCCTTCCTTCCATCCTTCCCTCTTTCCTTATTTTCGTCCTTTCTTTCTTTCTTTCCTTCCTTTCTTCTTTCTTTCTTTCCTTCCATCCTTCCTTCTTTACTTATTTTCTTCCTTCCTGCCTTCTTTCCTTCCGTCCGTCCTTCCTTCCTTTTTTCTTTCTTTCCTTATTTTCTTCCTTTCTGCCTTCCTTCTTTCTTTCTTTCTTTCTTTCTATCTTTCTTTCCTTCCATCCTTCCTTCTTTCCTTATTTTCTTCCTTCCTGCCTTCCTTCCTTCCTTTTTTCTTTCCTTCCTTCCTTCTTTCCTTCTTTCTTTTCTTCCTGCCTGCCTCCTTTTCTCCAGCCCTGGCCTGGGAAAGCATTAGAAGAGTGCCCCTGAGCTTGTGCAGAGTGTGTCTTTGGGAGAAAGCAGCTCTGCCCCAAAGATCTCCTTCTTTCCTTCCTCTTCCTTCCTTTATTTCTTTCCTTCTTTCCTTTCTTCCTTCTTTCTCTCCTTCCTTTCTTTCCAGCCCTGAAATAGCATTAGAAACATTCCCCTGAGCATAAGCAGAGTGCATTTTTGGGAGAAAACAACTTGCTCCAGAAGTGGGATTTCATCATTCTCTTTTCTCCCTTCCTTCCTTCCTTCCTTTATTTCTTTCTTTGCTTCCTTCTTTCCTTCCTTCCTTCTTTCTTTTCTTTGCTTCCATCCTGCCTTCCTTCCTTCTTTCTTTCCTTCCATCCTTCCTTCTTTTCTTATTTCTTTTCTTTCTTCCTTCCTTCTTTCTTTCTTTTCTTCCTGCCTGCCTGCCTGCTTGCTTGTTTGCTTTCTTTCTTTCCTTTCATCCTTCTTTCTTTCTTCCTTCTTTCTTTTCTTCCTTCCTGCCTGCCTTCTTTCTTCTTTCTTTGCTTCCTTCTTTCCTTCCTTCCTTCTTTCTTTTCTTTGCTTCCTTCCTGCCTTCCTTCCTTCTCTTTCCTTCCATCCTTCCTTCTTTTCTTATTTCTTTCTTTCTTTCCATCCTTCCTTCCTTCCTTCTTTCCTTCTTTCTTTTCTTCCTGCCTGCTTGCTTGCTTGCTTTCATTCCTTCCATCCTTCCTTCTTTTCTTATTTCTTTCTTTCCTTCCATCCTTCCTTCTTTTCTTATTTCTTTCTTTCTTTCCATCCTTCCTTCCTTCCTTCCTTCTTTCCTTCTTTCTTTTCTTCCTGCCTGCTTGCTTGCTTGCTTTCATTCCTTACATCCTTCCTTCTTTTCTTATTTCTTTCTTTCCTTCCATCCTTCCTTCTTTTCTTATTTCTTTCTTTCTTTCCATCCTTCCTTCCTTCTTTCTTTTCTTCCTGCCTGCTTGCTTGCTTTCATTCCTTACATCCTTCCTTCTTTCTTTCCTTCCATCTTCCTTCCTTCCTTCCTTCCTTCCTTCCTTCCTTCCCTTTCTCCCTTCTTTCTCTCCTTCCTTCCTTTCCAGCCCTGAGAGAGCATTAGAAACATTCTCCTGAGCATATGCAGAGTGCATCTTTGGGAGATGTCCTTTCCTCCTTCCTTTCCTCCTTCCTATCTTTCCAGCCCTGGAGTGGGGTTGCCCCTGAGCATGGGCAGAGAGCATTCCTTGGGAGAAAGCCACTCTTTCCCAGACTTGGAGGTGATGGACTGGTCTTTCTCCATTTCCTTTCTTTCCAGCCCAAGCATGGGAAGATTGCCCCTGAGCATGGGCAGAGAGCAGGGTTGCCCTGGAATGCCTTCTGAAGGCTTGCCAGTGGCCTTTCAAATATATGTACACACACACATATGCTATGGGGCTAGTCCTCAAGGTTGTCATGCAGATCTATGCAACTGTAATTAAGGAGCGCATTCCAAGATGTGATGTGATGAAATCCTGCCGTGATTGATTCATCTCCACCCAACAGCATTAAACGCCGGGTGTGTTTACATTGCAAAATAAATGCAGTTTGACACCTCTTTCACTGCTATCGTATGGGACTTGTAGTCTGGTTAGGAAGAGAAGGCCGAGGATTATATGTTGTCAAACTATATGTTATTATTGAATAGTGTTTATTTTAATTTTATTATTGGTTACGAATGGACAGGCATGGCGGAATTTCAAAAATGCGACCCACTGTAACCAGGAGCATATATTTTATTATTTGTTATTATTTGTTTCTATTTATTATTATTATTTAATCCATATAAATAAAATGTAATGTTTGTTTGTGGGATTAACAGGATTCAAAAACCACTGGACGAACTGACACCAAATTTGGACACAAGACACCTAACAACCCAATGTATGTCCTTCACTCAAAAAAAAATTGATTTTGTCATTTGGGAGTTGTAGTTGCTGGTATTTATAGTTCACCTACAATCAAAGAGCATTCTGAGCCCCACCAACTATAAAATTGTGCTATGTCAAAATTCTATTTCCCCCAAACTCCACCAGTGTTCACATTTGGGCATCTTGAGTATTCGTGTAGAGCAGTGTTTCTCAACCTGGGGGTCGGGACCCCTGTGGGGGTCGCGAGAGGGTGTCAGAGGGGTCGCCAAAGACCATCAGAAAACATAGTATTTTTTGTTGGTCATGGGGGTTCTGTGTGGGAATTTTGGTCCAATTCTATCATTGGTGAGGTTCAGAATGCTATTTCATTGTGGGTGAACTATAAATCCCAGCAACTACAACTCCCAAATGCTGTGGTCTATTTTCCCCAAACTCCACTAGCGTTCACATTTGGGGATATTGAGTATTTGTGCCAAGTTTAGTCCAGATCCATCATTGTTTTAGTCCACAGTACTCTCTGGATGTAGGTGAACTACAACTCCAAAAAAATTCAAGGTCAATGTCCACCAGACCCTTCCAGTATTTCCTCTTGGTCATGGGAGTTCTGTGTGCGAAGTTTGGTTCAATTCCATCGTTGGTGAACTTCAGAATACTCTTTGATTGTAGGTGAACTATACATCCTAGCAACTACAACTTCCAAATGACAAAATCATTCCCCCCAACCCCATCAGTATTCAAATTTGGGCGTATTGGGTATTTGGGCCATATTTGGTCCAGTGAATGAAAATCCATCCTGCATATCTGATATTTACATGACAATTCATAACAGTAGCAAAATTACAGTTATGAAGTAGCAATGAAAATAATTTTATGGTTGGGGGTCACCACAACATGAGGAACTGTACTAAGGGGTCACGGCATTAGGAAGGTTGAGAACCACTGGTGTAGAGTTTGGTCCAGATCCATCATTGTTTGAGTCCACAGTGAACTCTGGATGTATGTGAACTACAACTCCCAAACCAAAGGACACTGCCCACCAAACCCTTCCAGTATTTTCTGTTGGTCATGGGAATTCTGTGTGCCAAGTTTGGTTCAATTCCATCATTGGTGGGGTTCAGAATG